AGAGTATTCAGAGAAAACATTCTTCATGTGCTTTTAACTGGGACTGACTGGCAGAAAATGCAATAAAGACTTCCTCTTGAATAGATTTCCAGCATACCCTTCTATGGGCTTCAACCTAGCCTCTGTAAATTAATTGACTGTCTAAGCCTGAAAGGAATTGGTGCAATTGCTTTTCAGATATTGTGTATCAATTCATGAAAAGGTTTAGGTATTGTTTATTGCATCTAGTGACAATTAAAAGAGGCTTTTCCTTTTCTGGGAGGGGGTGGGCTGTGGCTTGATTCTTCTAACATGAAGCTGGCAGTGTATTGAGTAGATCTTTCCCAGAAAAATGAAATTGCAGGAGTGCTGCAGAGAGGACAAAAAAAAAGGTTTGAAAAAATTATTTTGATTTGCGTCACCTACTGAAAGAAATGAGCTTAGTGAGGATAACTTCTTACTCATGGGTAGAGCAAGCCATCTGACTGAAGGGTTTGTGGGCTGAGAAGGCTACTCCATTGTTGATAGAATTGTCTGAATCTCACGTGTGAGCCGTTGGATAACTTTTCTGCCTTAGAAAATGGTAGTCCAGTTTGTTAATGCTGGAAAGGTTAGATCTAGATGATATTTCTAAGGGCTGCACAATTGGAGAGAATAAAGAAAATATTTCCCATTTAAATTCATATTTTTTTTCTCTACCTTAGGGAGACAGAGACAATAGACCAAGTAACTATTTTTGTTTGCAGGAAATGATGATTATCTCCACTGGAGTGTACTCTATGTGCTGTTTTTTAGATTGAAATTAGCAACGATACACACAATACAAACTTGCCTAACCATATTCTACAGTTCTGATGGTTTCCATCTCTGTATTTTAGTGTTTTGACTTTTGTTTTGGAGTAATTCATGCGATAAGATGGGGTGTAGTTGTTCTAGTTGTGAAATGGAAGCTAAGTTTCATGGTTGTGCCTCCATCATGAACCAGTGCTTCAACCTTTATTTTCTTCATAAGGTCTTTTTGAAGGATTTAACACTTCTACCACCTACCTCAAGTATTATTTGAATGGGCTGTTAGTGAAGCAGAACTTCTGCTGTCTTGAAAAGTCTACACAAATAATGGCTTTTATGTTGAATGAGTTCTGTGTTCAAATCACAGCTGTCTGTCTGACCGGTCTTTTTATTTCCCTTTCTCCATTGGTAAGGCTATAAAATTATGGAAAGTCTAACAGCTGTGCACAGTTCTTCAGCCTTGAAGTGTTAGAGAAGCACATGAATAAGTATATCTTCTAATACTTAGTGTTTTTATAGAGAAAAAGTGATTTTAGATTGACTTTTTGGGGAGGGCTTAAAGTTTTTATATTTAAGATTTGTCACAGTACCACATGCAGAAATATTCTGCATTTTATAGATGTATTTTGCATTTAACTTTGTATGTAATGAATACTGGATTTATACAGCCCGAAGTTAAAGTAATGTGTCGCCCATGTAAGTAATGAGCTATTGATTTTAAAATAAAGATTTTTACACATTGAAATTTGACATATATTATATCACAAGTGTCTGGGACCATTCAGCCTCATGTAGAGCCACACACTGTACACAAAGCATCTGCAAAGGAATGCTTCTTCTTCCTGTTTGAGATCAGACTTCTGAACAGGCTTGTAACAGGATGTCTCCTTTGTTTGTCACTGATAGCTGAAACCTATATGCATTCTGTTGCTGAGTACTTACACCTTCAGGATCAGAAAAACTGCTGCCAACAAGGCTGGTTGTGAGAAAATTTGACCTACTTTTACATTTGGCACCACGTTGCCTGCCAGGACCAAGTAGACTGTGAACAGACCTTCCACTTGTCTTCAGTGGATGTGTCCAGTCTGAAACTGAGAAAAGGGAATGCTGCCATGGCAAAGCAAGCAAAAAGGAATATTGCAAAAAATTCCTCCCGTCCTGGGGTGTAAGGGAGCTTGGTGGGAGAAGGGGTGTAGGGGTTGCAAATTCAGTTACTTTGTATGTGCATATTGGTTTTCCATCCTTTTTCTGCCTCTAGTTCTTGGCACTGCAACACTGGAGTAGGGAATCAATTTGCTTGCTGTGACTCCTTTAAACAACTTTTGACTGTTCGTAACATAAGATTATTGCGGGTTCCCTTCTTCTACTACATAAATGAGAAGAAATGGCAACACATCTGTTTTGTTTTGTGTTTTTTTGTTTTTTTTTCAAACCTACATTTTTGCTTTAAAGGCTGTGATGAAGTTTTCCCTAAGTAGTACATCACTGGAACAGTGTATTATAAGCCTGTATTTGTCAAGTAGTAGAGATCAATTTGTACAAACATTCATGTTGTGCTTCTACTTCTCTTTCATTTCCATGTAAAACACAAAACTTTGTAACATTTTGTCAGTTTAGTATTCCCACTTGCCATGTGTAAATGGAGGTCTAAAACTGGTTAGTTGCTACAATGAATGTGCTGAACAGGAAGGGAAAATCATAGTTGCTTGTCATATTTTTCATCTGAACAATCATATATGTCTATGTTATGATCAGGTAAGCATACTTTGAAAATGCCTAAATGCCTGTTCATTTCATTAATTGATTGTGAATGGACCCTAAATGCTCCTTTTTATTTTTTTTTCTTTTTTATTTTTTTTCTTTCTTTTTATTGGATGGGGCATAGATACGTAACATAGATCAGGTGAATGGCACCCAAGAAGTTTTCCATGATCTGCTTTTGGAATTTCAGCTTTTTAATGAATGATACAATGAATTTGTTTTGTTTTGTTTTGTTGACAAAAAATAAAGAATAAGAGCAAAATTTGTTAAGGTCCCTAGATAATAGGCTTCTGAATTCTTTACATCAACTATTTCAGATGAGAGAAGGGTTTGGACAGGGGACACAAGGGACTTTCTTTGAACAATACTTTCTGTGATAAGGTTTTCAAAAACCTTCTAACTTCTATTAAGCTGTTGATTGTTTTGAAGGAAACTTGAAGGAAATGGGTGTTATTAATTTGACCACATATGAAGAAAAATTCTAAAGACAGCTTTACTGTTAGCTCTTCAGTGGATAAGCATGGAGCCCGAACCTTGAAAATGTGATAGTGAATTGAAAATATGTCAGTACACTTGTACAATATCTGTTTCTGTAACTCTAGGGCATGATGGAGGGCTTCAGCACTATGGTTCTGCGAGTTGCAGATGCCATCCCACCCCGGTATCTTGACCAGAAGTGTGTTTGGCTTTCTTGAGAAATAAGCATTTTATTATTATATCCTTTCCACAGCAGAGGTATTAATTGTAAGAAAAGGTAATGTCTGAATTATATGGTAAATAGTAGGGAGGTTAGAGAACACATTCAAAAGCTGTTGATATTTATGGAGGTCATCTGTTGCTCAGAAAGCTGAAGTCACCATTGTGGTAGCTTTAATTCATGAGTTATTCCATTCAATAACATTTAAGTACTTTGTAGTATGGAAACCATAATTAGCTCACCACTTTAGGAGTAACAAGAAGTTGTATCCCTCAGTTAGAGTTGGAAAGTCACCAAAAGAATGGTTTGTGATGCATGAGAGGTCTGGAATTTGGAGGCTGTCCATTGGTGTCCCCATCTCATCATCCTTGCCTTTGTTAAGAGCTTTAGATAAAAAGGTCACACCATTTTTTCTTTAATTAGTTTCCTCCTCCCCTTTTGGATTATTAATGGCAATGAAGCATTTCCTGTCTCTCACTGTGTATTGAATGCTTTTGTTCCTAAATTCTGCACAAGACCAGTGGAAACATTAGCTGGCTAATACAAAATTAGGAAAAGAAAATGAAACTTGCTTATACTTCTTCCTGTCTTTACCAGTTGTGTAAATATTTTAAAGCCAGCTTACTAGTGTTTTGCAGTGCTTACGATTCATGAATACTTAACCCCTGACACTGTCTTTATTCAGAAGAATGCCTTGCAACTTGTGCTGTGTGATGAGTTTATACCTAAAAGAATGTTCAAAATTTCCCCCCCACCCTTTTATTTTTATTTTTTATTTTGAGCTTATTTTTAGTAATCAAATGTTTAATGAAAGTCACAAAACAATTCAAGGCTTTTACAGATTGCTCTCTGTATATAAAAGGTCCCATTTTAACATGGATTTTATGCATTTTTTTCATCCCCTGTCTACTTTTTTCTTAGCCAATGACAGTAAGATTCCTAAGGCTACTTTCTCTTTAAGGGCATGCTGCTTACATAAATAGTCCTTTAAACCATCGCCTTGTTTTCTAATATTAATTGTTGTTCAGGAGATGGGAAATATTCCTTAGAAATGTGTTTTCCTGATTGTGCATGTCTTGTTACTATTTCAATTATGCAGATTCTTGATGCTGTGGAAATTTGTGCTTGATGACGCCAAGGCAGCTGCACGTTGTTAGCATTGTAGGCTGTCAGATGATCATGTGGGATTCTTGCAGCATGCAACATTCAATAGGATTGAAAAAGGGCTTTTGATGCAAGGCATAGCTTTCAGAATATATTTGTGCCTTTTAGTTAGCTTATATAAAATCATAATATATTATCTTTAAATTTAAAATGCTGCCTCATTTTTCTTCTGGTTGGTTTCATTTTGGCTTCACTAGAAGATGCATCTGGTACATCCACGATTGAGGAGTTTATTAATGATACTGTCGTTCAGTTCACTTACTTTTTTTCCTTTTAGAGTCCTAGCTAGCCCACAGATTACATGATCACATGTTCATTCAGTCATTCATATAGAACACAAACCACCATGCATGATTTCTTCTTCTTTCTTTTTCCTCTCTGCCTTTTTTATTCTTTTTAAGTTGCATTGTCATGTTCTCTTTTATCATCAGGCTTAGTCTTTGTCATCTTCCTGCTGCTATTTGTTATATATTTTCCCATGCTTGGTTACTGCAATATTATTTGATTAACGGGCTGTGATGATGATGAACCTGCACACTGGAGGAGCAGCTACTACAGTGGTGATGAAGGGATGTAATAATGGTCGCTATCCTCGGAATTCTCTCTACAGTGACTGCATAATAGAAGAAAAGGCAGTGGTCCTGCAGAAAAAAGACAATGAAGGATTTGGATTTGTGCTCAGAGGGGCAAAAGGTATGTGCTTTTGTGTGTGTGTGTGTAATGTGCACGGGCATGAAGAAATTTATACATCTCTGAATATAAGCAGGAATTATTCTTGGTGCACTTGGTTGCTAGACAACAGGATTCTCTGTATGCTGTACTACTCAGATAGATTTTAGTGGCTTCTGTCTGAAGCAGTTTGCGTTTTTATATAGGAGAAGCACTGTATAATCATTTGGGGGGGAGAAAGTTTTGTCTGTATTTTTACTGTGTTGGTATATGTAATATTTTGTCATTAATCTGTTTTGTTATGCAGTTTACCTAACTATGGGAAACCTGCTTTCCTTATAAAACCTGCTTCTTTATTTCAAATGTCAGTCTGTTTAAATAGGTCTCTGAATAGAAATAGACAAGAGAGTGATGTTTTGTTTAAAATAGGTGTGGATCTTCTGCAAGGTGACATTGGTGCAGTTTTAGTATGAAAATATGATCTTTTTTTATATCTTCAGAAGCTGCACGTATGTTGCATGGCCTGTAGTGTGCTCATTTTAAAAGCTGTTCATATGTTAAACTGCATGTTACTTTTCTGTAGACTAAAATCTAAAATAATGGCATTCTCAGGAGTTAAAAAAAGCATTCTATTTAATGCTTTGCTTTTTAACTTTCAGTCCAGTTTGCTCCTTTTGTATTTAAAAAATATATATGATGGTATGTCCCACCTCTTGCTCCCCCTCATTTTTCCATGGGTTCTCCCTTGCCTTGCTTGAGCATGAAAAATATTCCATATCTTCATTCCTGGGACATCATTTTTGCTCCCCCCCCCTTCCCGCACCCCTGAACCAGTGACACCGTAGATTTTCAGTGTTGTAAATGCTTTTCTAATTTTAGCTAAATTAATATTTTTGGAGTTCTGCTAGGAAAGCCAATAGTGCTACCTTTTAGTTAACCCATTGCCATGAGTTGTCTGTGCATTAAGCAGAGGTTACTCTCTCTGTGTAAGCCCAACTATTTCCCCCTGAATTTCTCTGTAACAGTGGGGGCACCTCAGGTGAAAGACCCAAGGACTTTTCTGCTTGTCTGTGTACGTGACAGAGAGAGAGAGGGCTGGTACAAGGCCTGCTGTGTCTCCTTTCAATAAAAGTGCTTTCTGCTGCTATCTTCTTTGTAATACACATCTACATCTAGAAGAAAAAATTACTTTGATCTCTTTCATCCTGTTACCCACCCTCCTCTCCCCCTAGTTCAGCTGGATGCTCTCTTCTGGCTACAGTGAATAATTCCCTTATAGTTGGATGTTTCCAGAGTTACAAGCATTTTGCTAGGCATACAAAAGGTTTACATGAAGTAGTCCTGGAATACTCAGAATCCAGCTATTGCCCCATACAGCTTGATTTAATTTCTGTCAGTAAAGAAGCATGCATTTTTTTCTCTGAATTGAAGACCTGTGGCTTGCTATTGCAGAGAGATTGCACTCTGTTCCCAGCATTTTGATATTATCTGAGGCAGAGTCCTCTTACTTTTAGCACCCACCATTTTTAAACCATAAATTTGAATGGCCAATAATAGGCCTTTAATCAAGTGGTATTTTCAAGCATTCCCTAACTATCTTTTTAATGTGGTATTTATTTTTAAAGCTGACACACCAATTGAAGAATTCACCCCAACTCCAGCCTTTCCTGCTTTGCAGTACTTGGAATCTGTGGATGAAGGGGGAGTAGCATGGCAAGCTGGCCTGAGAACCGGGGACTTTTTGATCGAGGTAGGAGATCGTGACATCTAATTGTTAGTGCTCTGCTGGGGAAAGACGTTCCCTTTGTAGGATTTACTTTGGAAAAAGTGTATGATGTTTTTGAAACAGTAAGTTCAGTGCACTAGCACCGGTAACATATTTCACTTTATCTATTTTTAAATATCATGCAGCATTGAGGAAAGCAGTAAAAAGAACAATGTTCAGGTTGCCTAGGAAGTTTCTATTTATGCTTTTTGTCATTTGGGAATACAAAGCAAAGAAAGCAAAGAATACAATAGCAAAGAAAGTTGGGGATTTTGATTTTTCTTGGTGTTATTGAATTCAAATTTAGTTTAATTTCTGTATTTATTGCAGGCTATCAATTCTGTGATCTTCTAAATATTTTTACAGAGTCACCAAAATTAATGGCTTCTTATGCAACTGTTTCTGCAATCAGAAATATCAATGATCTAGTGCTGTTGGGAAACCATGGAGAATAAAGCAAATGACTTTAGCTTGAAATTAAATATTTGCAACAGTGCACTGTACTCACACACACACAAAAAAAAAATAGAATGGTAGATTACTATATAAACTACTTTATAAAAATGGTATATTTAAATAATATCTTCAGTCATACCAAAAATGTCATCACGTTATGTATTTTGGAGAGATTTTGGGTGGGATTTCAGGTTCTGTTGCAATAGTTGGTAGTCCTTTCTAGTGTTACCTGGCAGTTTGCAACAAAATCATGTTTGGGGATTTTCTTCCTCTTTCCCCACAACCCCTCCACGACTAACAAAGTGATAGTGTGGTTCTTTGAAAATAGGTCTTCCAGGGTGATTAAAATCTGCAAAATCTATTTGTTTTGTTTTGGTTTCCCCTTCTTCAGGTATAAATATCTATTTTGTTAAAATATTTACTGGTGCCATAGCATTTATCTCTACAGACCTGGCCTTTCCATTCAGGAGAGGATAGAATATACACCTTTCATTTGTTGCATGCCTTGATCTCCCACAATGATTGAATTTAAATAGTTGTCACTGATGAAAGAACAGGCTTAGAAGACTTTTAAAGTAAATAGATGTGCATTTTTATCAGTACCTTCAACATACATTTTTCTTATTGTTTGTTTACTTGAGAATGATTGTATAGCAAACTGCTTGATGATGGCTTATAAATTGTACTGATATGTCTTCTGTGCAAGGATGCTTTCAAAGCCATGATTTTTGACACAAGGTTTGGTTTGGTTTGTTGTTTGTTGTTTTTTTTTTTTTTTTTTTTTTTTGTTAACAATGCTTTGGTTTTAGAAATTGATTTCTTGTTAGGCTTTTAATCTGTAGGAAGTATGAATAGTCTGTACTGGATGATTTCATAGATAGATTTGATGGTGAATAATGTGTACTTTAATAGATAGGATTACAGGATGAAAACTATGCATATGGATTTTTTTAAACCCTATGAAAGGATTCAAGAAGTCTGGGATAGCTAATTCTGCTCAAAGATTTACTAGTTTTCTTGCAAATGAAAGAACTAGAATTAATTGTCCAGACAATCATCTCCTAGCCTTAGCCTGGAAGAACAGTTAAACATGCACATGTATTGCTGAATCAGGGCATTAATGCATACTTTTACACAGGCCAGTATATTTGTAATTAATTTTGAAAGAAGCAGTTGTTACACGCAAATCTAATCCATTTCTATGTAATTTATGTTCATCATGGTATTTTGTTCTGAATTTTGCAATTTAATTAAGAGGATACAATAATACTGAGAAATCACAACTTTGATGGTTTTGAAGACTTTTATATTGGAGAAAATGCAGGGTTGTGGTTTTTTTTTTTCTTCCTGTTTTATGAGCTACTTGTGTAGTGCACAATGCTGCCTAGCTATAGAGAGCCATGCTTGAAGATATTTACACTGATGCAAAAAAGATGCTGCTGTTGAAATATAGATGACCAGCACACCTGCCCTTTTATGAATGCCAAACTACTTAATTTCTTGTGTTGAACTGCTCAGAGCTGAATGTACTCTATGCTGCAGTGCATGGTTATAACTGGTGTAGTTAGTCTGTCTTACTGTCAAATGATTTCTTCCATGACTCCAAAGTTTATGTTGGTATGTGTAAGTGCCACCTTAACCATTTGTAAGTAATATAACGCATTTATCATAAATGTCACATTAATAAAAAGGGAGTTAATGGGCAACTAGGATCCTAATTAGTCCCATTTATAACACTTGCGGCAAGCGTCAGGCTTTAGGGAAGTGAGAGTCCAGTTTGGCAGAGGGCAAAACACACAGGAGAGCAGATGTTTCACTCTTAGTTAAGCAAGTTCGGTGACTTGGGGTCATGGAGGTAAGAGGAGCTTTTTTCCTCACTGTATGGAAAGACAGGTTTGACAGGAAGATAAATCCTTTCCTTGGAAGCAGAAAGGATTGTGAGTGTAGGTGAATAGAAAGCATCATTTCCTCATGTGTAATTATGGTCTCTTGGACTTCCAAAGGGGATAAAAACTTCAACGACAGCTACTGAGCTTGCTAAAGTAGTTCAGTATTGAAGGCGATGCACATTGAGCAGAACAGATAAAAGCTTTATGGGGAAAAAAAAAAAAAAAAAAAAAAAGAAAAGGTGTTGTCTTGCTTCAGCAGGTACACAGAAGAGAAAGAGGGCTGGCACACTTTAACATCTGACAGAGTTTTTTATCAAGTTTGCAGTTTTTTTCTGAAAAGCCACGTAGTAATGATTTGTCCAACCTATACAATTAATTTCAACATGGGACTTCAATGTTTAATGTTAAACTTGCTTATGGAGATAGTGTTTGCTGATTCTTTGCTGAAATTTCTGAGATATATACATACATATATTTAGCCTTGCTTCAAACATGATCTTTTTTTTTATGATAAACATATAATGTTTAGTGGCTTTTCTGGATAGAGCACAAAAGTATTGGGAAAGAGTACGAGTAATTTTAGAGCAGAAACAGTTAGCCAGAGATAGCTTTCATTATATGTGTATTTTCATAAGCAATACAAGTTATCAATTCATGTGATTTTTCTTTGTTTTGATAAACAATCAGAACTGGAGTATGGTTATGACTTGAATGTTATAACTGAGATTGTATAGCTAGCCCTATTTGCTTCTTTTCCCTTCTTTTAGTTCATCTTCTATTCATCTCAATATCTGCCCAATTAAAAAGTCAGATAAAAATAAAGCACCATGTTAGTGCAGGTGCTATGCAACCTAAAACATTATGGCTTCCATTAGAGGGGGATTTCAGAAACTACAGCCATCATTAAGGTATACACCAATTATAAAGCCATTGTAGGCTGTTGTGAATTCATGAGTATGACTGAACTGCTTTAATACACCTGCTCCAGCCTGTGAAGACTTCATCAGAAAATATTGAATCATGAGCTGATTTGATTTGTTACTTGAAGTATTTGCAGGAAGGACATGTATTAGCTCTGACTCTAAATCTCTTATTCATTAACAATATTTATGTGCCTAACCTTTATTAACTTTAGTGTAGAACTCAAACTAAGCATAAGCAGAGGAACTATTAAAAAACATTCAAAAAGAGCTGCCTTACAAATTGACTCAAAGGATCTTGGGAGTTTGGGGGCTTTGGGGCTTTGATTTGTTTTTGGTTTGGTCTTTTTTTGGTTTTGAGATTTGCTTTGATGAAATATACAATGATAACTATCTTTAAAGAGATTTGTTAGTGTAAAAGAGTTTCTTGTGTGCGTCAGAAGAATTTTGTTTCTGTTAGTATAGTAGAATATAGATTACTTTATTAAATTAACACCCAGTGGATTATTAACTGTTATTGTTGTTATCTATGAATGTATAGCTGTTTTTGCAGGTGTGGTGATATGATGTATGGGGATTTTTCATCTGTCCCAGTACATATATCAAATGATAACACTGTAATATCAATACTCAGAACTGAAAGTAATTCTGTAATATTTTAACAGAATAATGCTTTAGTTCTCTAAATGAGGGGTTGAAATTTGCATTCTTGTGCCATAAAATCACTTATTTTTCCAGATAAATTGAAATTTTATTGTAATCAGAGTAGAATAGCTGTTTGTTTCCATTCAAATTAAACTATAAAGTAGATTAAAAGTGTATTATTAATTTAAAAATAATAATAATCAAGATGTGATTCGGAGATCAAAACCAGAGGTGATAATAGAAGAGTTCTCATCATTTTTCAGAATAGTTCAGTTGGATGAATTAGTGCGGTTGTACTAAGCCATCTGTTACTGATTTAAGTCCCTTTAGCAATCGAGAAACCTTTCCATCCCTAAGTAAGCTTCATTAATTACCCTGTGGCCGAGTTTTTTCTTATTTTTTGTCTGAACCCCTCTAGCTTCTGCCATGAGATATAAATCTAATTTTTTTAAAGGAAGCTACATAGAGACCATGATATTTTTTTCTCTTCCTGAAATAAACTGAGATTTTATTATTGTCTTCATAATAACAGTTTATCACATTGCAATTTTTTGCAGTTGTTTTCTGAAACTTTGTTCATATCCTCCTAAAAGTGCAAACATCAGCTCGATGCAGTATTTTAGTAATATCCTACTACTGTAGTAATAGCAATAGCAATTTAGTAATATCATGTGTAAGAGGAGAAAAAAAAAATCTTCATTTTTTTTATGCTGTCTTTACCTGTCAAACATAGGCCTTTTAGTGGACCAGAAGAGTAATGTCCACTCTACATCACCATCTTATATTAGGCTTTTTGCTGCCAATTTGGCTGCTCCTCCTGTGCATGCAGTGAGCCTCTGTCTTCGCATATTAAGCAGGGGAACAGTGAGGCTCATGGTTGAGCTCTCTGTGCAGTTCTGTTCCTAGACAGCATCTCCTTGAGGTTTGTGTTCAGCTGTACAAACTAGATTTTAAAGGAGATTTACTGTTGCAAAACTGCAACAGTACTGCAGTGTTTCAGCACATGCACATGCACGCAGACATGTATAATATAGAGGCTGTTTGTGTGCGTGTACGTACATGGTTATTGTAAGCA